GGGCTGCAGGCATGGGGGGGCCGCAGGCGTGGGGGGGCGCAGGCCCCGCGCCCACTGGGCCCCTGCCCCTCCCAGGGCGAGGGCGTGCAGCAGCTCCGGGAGGCTCTGAAGATCCTGGCGGAGCGGGTGCTCATCCTGGAGCACATGATCGGCGTCCACGGTGAGACCCGCCGGCCCCTCCCCACCCCTGCCTCAGTCTCCCCACCACACCCATCTGACCTGCCCCCACACACACAAACATGCGAGGGCCCTGGGAGACAGGAATGCATGGGTGATGAGATGAATGAATGATTGCATGGATGGATGGATGGAGGGATGAATGATTGCATGGATGGATGGAGGAATGAATGATTGCATGGATGAATGAAGGATGGATGGGGAGGCGGTCTGGTCTCCTCCCTGAGCAGGAGCTTGGCACACCATGTGCCTTGGGGTGCCCCGCGGCTGCCCAGTGCTCACCCTCTCTCTCCTTCCAGACCCCCTGGCCTCCCCGGAAGGCGGCTCTGGCCAGGACGCGGCCCTCAGAGCCAACCTCAAGATGAAGCGGGGCGGCGGCCTGGCGGGACTGCTGGGCCCTGACCCTGGGCCGGGCAGCGCCCGGCCGGGCCGGCGGTGAGCACCGGGGTCCCCTGCCCCCCACTCCCGCTGGAAGCCTGGCCTGTTGGGGGCGCTGGGCCAGGCAGGGGGCCTGGCCCGTAGACCCCCTGCTGTCTCACATGTAACCCGTCAGAGGCGGGCCTGCTGTGCACCCCCAAACGGCAGCGCGGGTAGGATTTGAATCCAGACCTCTCAGCTGCCAAAGCTGGAAGTGGGGTTCCCGCCCGTGGGGCCCCCTCTTCATGAGGATGACACCCCGGGGCCGGGCGGTGGGGGGGAACAGGCCGGTCCTGCACAGTGGACACTTGGGGTCCACCCATCCTCAGCCCATGGCCCTAGGCCCGAGATCGGCTCTCAGTGCTGGGGTCCCCATGAATTCCCCCAGGGACTCCATGGACTCGGAGACCAACGGGGTGGGGGGCTTCAGGGTACAATCCACCTGAAACTGCCTGGCCCTGACACGGCTGCCCCCAGCCCCCAGGGGGGCCCTTGGTCATGGGGTCTCCCGCCCCCCACCCCATCTCAGGCAGGGGGCACCTCCGGGACCCCCCTCTGCCCCCTACCTGGCCTTGGTGCTTCCTCCTTGTGGCCAGGCCTGGGGACTTGGAGCCGACGGTGCTGGGGTTCCTGGGGTGTCTCCCTCGCCCCCCCACCCCAGGCCGGTCCTGGCCCCCCCCCACTCCCCCCCCACTGGCCACCGCCCCCCCCGCAGCCTGGTGGCGACGTCACTGTATCTGACAATAAAGGTGCTCCCCCACTGGGGTCTGTTTTTGGGGGTGTGGCTGTGGGGAAGGGCACGGTGGCCTCACACTGCCTGCTGGGGGCTGGAAGGGAACCCCAAGTCCAGTAGTCTGATGAGAACCCGATAGAGTGAGGCTGGGCCTGCCGTGGGGGGAGGAGGGAGGGTTGGGGAACCCAGGATGGTTCCCAGGGGTGTTTTGTTTTTGGTCAGTCGTGGGGCCTGAACTCTGGGCCTGGGCGCTGCCCCTCAGCTCTTCAGCTCAAGGCGAGCGCTCTCCGGGTTTTCTGGTGGTTTATTGGAGGTGAGTCTCGCAGACTTCCTGCCCGGCTGGCTTTGAACCCCGATCCTCAGATGTCAGCCTCCGGGTAGCTGGGATGACTGCAGCCACCAGTGCCCGGAGGGACCCCAGGTTTGCTGATGGAACACCCGACTCCCCCACACATGGCCCTGCCCCGCCCCGCACCCCGACTTCACCCCTGCCTGGCTCACAGCAGGTAATGGGGGTGCCTGAAGCCGAATGCCAGGCAGGGAGTTCTGGAATATTCTCTGGCTGGCCAGGCCTTGAGCCATTTTCTGAGCAGGGGTTGTGAAGGCTCTCCCCTCCGTCCGCCCCTCCATCCCCCCCTCTGTCCCTCCCTCCCCGTCCCGCTTCCTTCAGGAGGAACTTGGGGTACACACTCCCCCCTTCCCAGCTGGGCCCGCCTCTGCCTGAAGCTGGTGTTTTACTTCTAGCCTTGTGAGGACTGAGGGTGCCCTGGGCGGCTCCCCGGCCCAGCTGGGCTGCTGCAGGGCGGGCTGAGGGCGCTGCTGGCGCCCCGCACCCCAGAGCTGGGCGTCAGTGAGGCTGGCCTGCTGCACCGGGCCTGCTGCACCCCAGCTCCCCGCACGCCCAGCGCCCCATGGAATCCACACCGCTCCTGCTGCACCCCAGCTCCCCACATGCCCAGCGCCCCATGGAATCCACACTGTGAGCTGACACAAGCATGAGCGGCTGGGCCTCCATGAGCCTCCCACTCCAATGGGATTATTGCGGCCCCCCTTCACACACACACCCCAAAACACACACGGGAAACTTCACAGGCTGGAGCCAAGGATGCCTCACCGGGGTAGTGAAAGACCACCCTCCACCCCTCCACCCTCCACCCTCTACCCCTCCACCCTCCATCCTCCATCCTCCTCCCTCCAACCTCCTCCCTCCACCCTCCACCCCTCCACCCTCTACCCCTCCACCCTCCATCCTCCTCAATCCTCCCCCTCCCTCCTCCACCCTCCACCCATCATCCATCCATCATCCATTCATCTGTCCATCTGTCCATCCTCCTTGCACCCCCCCACTCAGTCATCCCACAACAAGTATCCACCATGCCTGTCCATCATTCATGGAGCCTCCGCTCGGCATCGTTTAGCCTGCTCAATCATCATCCATCATCCACATTTCCTTCCACCCACCTGCACACCACCTTCCACTTGCCGCACATCCATCGTCTGCCTGTCTGTCCTCTCCTGCTCCCTACCACCGTGTGTTTAATGGCCATCGCTGGGTTCTGCTGTACGTCAGGTCTGGGTTGGGGTTCAGGGGGCAGAAGCCCTTGTGGGTTGAGGAGGGGCAGGAGAGGTGGAGCCCAGGCCTGCCAAGAGATGCCCGCCTCCCTTCTCCCTCACCTCCCCTAGCAGGCAGGCCGGGGACATTTGCAGCAGGAGCCCAGCAGGGCCCCTGGAGGTGCCCCACCCCCACCCCCGGGCGTGGACAGCTGAGAAAACCCGGTCCCCACGGCTCAGAGCTGTTGAACTGGGACATGGGCCTGCAGCCGCATCCAAACCTCCGCCCTGGACTGGAGGAGCCGCAAATCAAGTGCCTGGACAGCCTGCAAGAAGCAGCAGTTTAGCACCTGCCACACCTCTCCCCTGACGAGGGGGCGGCCCTCCAGCGTCCTGAGCAGAAGGCTCCAGGCTGCCCACCTCTGCTGGGCTGGGCTGCGGCCCTGTGCCATCGCTCTGCCCTCTGGACCCAGAGCTCCCTGTGAAAATGAAGGCAGGATGGCACCCCGAGCCTCCTCAGCCCCTGCGGGACCCCCTTCCTGCCCCCGGGTCCGGCAGCACGCACCCTGAGCTGCCACCCCAGCCACTCAGCCGGTGGGAGCAGCAGAGTGAGGGCCAAGGCAGACACAGGCAAGAACGCGAGCAAAATCGTGTTAGCGATCCTAACAAGTAAGCTGGGTGGTGCGGCCTCCACCTGTAATCCCAGCCATGCAGAGGCGGAGGTAGAAGTCTCTGCAGCTGGGCTTTCCTGCCTGCTTGGCCCTCTCCCAGGCAGAGGGGGACCTGACCCCTGGTTGGAGGTTGGGGGGAGGACAGGAGCGCCGCCCAGTTCTTGTAGACCTGGGAAAGGCCGCGGTGAGGAATGGGGGCGGTGGGGCCTGGTGTGCAGACGTCCCTGGTCCTCCTAGGAGGAGGACAGTGTGGGGCGGGGACGGGGGGCACGGAGGACAGCGGAGGACAGTGGAGGGGTGGGGCTGCAGCGGCGCAGTGTGGACACATGGCCAGGGCCCTCGGGGGCTGCAATACACGTTTTCCGCTGTTTTTAAATGTTTAAATGTAATATAATTGGAAACCGGGCCGTGGGCAATGCACATGTCCGTCAGCAGATGGCGCTGCAGGGTTGCAAATGCGGCATGGCACCCCAGCCTCGCCCAGCCCAGCCGGTGCCGGGCGTCCACCCTCGTGGTCTGCAGACCCTGGGGCCCCAGACGGATCAGTAAGCGGCCTAAAGATCACCCCGCCTCAGCTGGAGTCCAGTGCTTACACCTGTAATCCCAGCTACTCAGGAGACAGATCTGCGGATGGAGGTTCAAATCCACCCGGGGCAGGAAAGTCCGGGAGACTCTTGATCTTCAATTAACTAACAAAAAAACAGAAGTAGTGCTGTGGCTGTGCACGCGCGCACACGCACACGACACACAGACACACACACACGTACATGCACACAATCACACAGCTCTCACAGTAAGCCAGGGCTCACGTGGCCTGCTTTCCCCAGCCTCTGGGTGCAGCATTTCACAGATTAGCGCTTGCTTGTGCCCACTGGCCGCTCCCCCTGGCACCCAGACGCCTGGGCCCCAGGAGGGCAGGACACAGCCCTTCTCCACGAGACTCTGCACCCCCCCCAAGGAGCCGAGTGCCCCCAGGGACCCAGCAACAGGTCCCACACGGGGCTTACGGTGAGACCTTATCGCCACCCAAGGTCAAGCTGGGTGTAGTGGCGCACAGCTGTAATCTCAGCCTTTGAGGAGGATCTTGGTTCTGGGCAGGCACTGAGTCACCCAGAGTTTGATTTCCAGATAACCACCTCAGCTTGTGTTTGTGCCAGGCCATGAAGTCTGCCTGTCCATCTGTCCATCTGTCTGTGTGCCTGTCTGCCAATTTGTGTTCAGGTATCTCCTGTGTGTGTGCACATGCCCCTGGCTTTTCCACTTGAGCCTGGCACTCTACCTTGTGCCACACTTCTGGCTTTTATTTTTTTTTTTTGCTAGTTCATTGGAAGTAAGAGTCTCAGGGAAGCTGGGTGCCGGTGGCTCACGCCTGTAATCCTAGCTACTCAGGAGGCTGAGATCTGAGGATCATGGTTCAAAGCCAGCCCGAGCAGGAAAGTCCATGAGACTCTTATCTCCAATAAACCACTAGAAAACCAGAAGTGGTGCTGTGGCTCAAGCGGTAGAGCTTGCTTTGAGCTGAAGAGCACAGGGACAGTGCCCAGGCCCAGAGTTCAAGCCCCACAACCAGCAACAACAACAACAAAAAGTCTCAGGGAGGAGCTGGGAAGGTGGCTCAGTGGTAGAGCGCTTGCCTTGCATGCATGAGGCCCTGGGTTCGATTCCTCAGCACCCATAAGGAAAAAAAAAAGCCGGAAGTGGCACTGTGGCTCAAGTGGTAGAGCGCTAGCCTTGAGCTGAAGAGCTGAGGGGCAGCGCCCAGGCTCACAGTTCAGGCCCACGACCAGACCCAAAATAAAACAAAAACAAAGTCTCAGGGGCTTTCCTGCCTGGGCCGGCTTTGAACTTTGATCGTAGGGCTTCAGCTTCCTGATGACAGGTGTGGGCTGGGGAGCCCTGCGTGCAGTGGCTGGCGTGCAGCCTTTGCTTGCGTATCTCCTCTGGCCTCGGGGCCGGGCGGGGTCCCAGCTCCCGCCTCGGCGGCCTCCGACTCTCCCTGTGCTTAATGGCTTCTTTTGATGGACACAAGGTTTTCATTATGACCAAGCCCCGTTTTTCCCTCTCTCATGTTTGGTCTGGTGGTACACAAGTCCCCGCCTTCCCTTCATCCCCCCCGGAACACGCCCTCCCCCTGTCCTCACTGTCCCCCAGTGCCCTGTCCCCCCCCAACCCCCCAGGACTCTGCCCCTCCCCACCGTCTCCCCGGCCTCAGCCTGGTGGGCCTGGCTCAGGCTCCTGGACACACTAGGTGCTCAATAAAACCCTCAGCAATGAGGTCAATGCCCGGCGGCCCAGCTGGCGATCATTAGAGCTCGCGATGAGCTCAGATGTGCCAGGCACATTGGGGCGACACCAAGGACCCCGAGTCACCGCAGGAATGCCTGGCGTCTGTAATTATGCCATGAATCACGCAAACTCAGCTCCCGCCACCTTTATTCCGGTGTTCTCCTGCTCCCCCTCCCCAGGGCAGCATGGACTATTTTTTCCCCTGCTCTGTAGTCTGGGGTCCCGGCCATCTGCCCGGGAGCCCCCCGGCCCCTAGTCCTTTTCTTCCCCATGCGTGATGACGTAGCACAGGTTTCTGTAATCCAGATTGCCGTAGGCGTCTGGCGGGAATGCCGCAAACATCTGCTTGGCCTGTGGGAGAGGCGGTCAGGGGTCAGGGGGGCTGGGGGACCCGGGGTAGACTGGGGGGACCCTGGCTGGACTCCAGTACTGGCCTCACCTCCTCCTCGCTGAAGCGGTCGGCCTGCGTCATGAGCTTCTCCTTGATGCTGTCGTGGGGAGACGGCCACACTCAGGGAGGGTCCCCCACACCGTGTGGATTCTGGGGGCATCGGGGGTCCTCTCACCCGGGGCTGCCACCTCCAGCCCCCCTCAAGGCTTAGCGAGCCACAGACTCTCCTGTCACCCCCTGAGATCCCTGTGTGACCTTGGGGTCTCGGGTCGGGGTGCCCTGTTTGTACTCAATCTCGGGGGGCCCTGGGGGATCCCATCCTGTCCTGGGCCCGGCCACCTCCAGCGGGTGATGCTGGCATTCTAGAAGACGCTCTGGGCACACAGCTCAGGGCCGCATGGGGGGCAGGCTGTGTCTGGCATGACGCACATTTTCCATGGTGTCCGTGGCTGCGGACACTCAGTGTTTCCAGGGCTCCATGGCCCCCCGTGCCCGGCCTGGGCCAGCAGCAGCCCACACAGCGCCGAGGCCTGCACGGGGTGCCCCCGGAACTCCCCCAGGATGCCAGGGCACAGGAAAGGGCTGAAGACCCCTGGGGGGGCAGCCAGAGACCCCTTGCAGCATGCCTGCGCCCCCCCCCGAGCCTGACAGTCTTGGAAAAGATGGGGGGGCATCTCAGAGATGGGGGAACCTCCTTTCCTCGTCTCTCTGCCCCCCCTTGGGTGGGGACTCAGCTAAGAGAAGCACCCCAAAAGCCTCCATGCCTGAAGCACACTGGGCTTGCGGTAGGGGAGAGAAGTGGGGGGCTGGGCTGGCATCTGCTGGGGGTGTCCCCCCCCGCCTCCTCCTCTACCCCCGCCGGCCCCTCCCGCTCCTCCTCACCTGCTCAAGGATGGTCTCTGGCCTGTGTCCTCCACTCCCCATGCACACCGGAACTGGGGTGTGGGCCCCCCATGACAGCCTCACCCCAGCCCATCTCCAGCCTCCTCCCTGCACCCCCCACCGCACAACCCGCGGGGTGCTCACAAGTCAGCCTTGACGAAGCCTTTGCCCTCCGTGTCGAACACCTTGAAGGCATGGAGGATGGTCTCCTCGGGGTCCGTGCCTGCGATGAGGTGCCGGGGAGGCGGGCGGGGGGCTCAGGCTCCCGGGAGGCCGGGCCATGACCCCCATCGCCCCAGCCCCCCACCCAGGGCCAAGCCCACCCACGGCCAGGACCCCCCCATCACAGCTGGAAGCAAGTAACATCCACACACGGAGCCTGTTCACTCTTCCTAGGCCCGGGAGGCTTAAGGGACAGGTCTGGGGGTTCCATGGATAGTGGGGTCTTGGCAGCGCAGCCTTGAGGCTCACGCAGGACCCAAACTGTGCCCCAAGCCAGAATGACAGGCACTCACAGCTGGGTGGGAGATTTGAGGGGGGGTGGGGGCGGGGGAGGGGAGGAGTGGGGGGCGCAGGTGGAGAGGATGCGCCCCCCTCCCGTCCACCCACAGCGCCTCCTGACGGGACTCAAGCTGGCTGCTTGGGCGGGGGGGAGGGAACTGGGCACGCCGCCCCCCCATCTCCCCCGGGGCCTCATAAAACAGCCCCCACGGCCGGCTGCTGCGCTGGTGGGGACTCACCCCCAAACATGTCCTCCTCCCAGTCCCAATTAGGGGACAGCACAAGGCAGGGCACAGGCCTCCCCCCCCCCCGCCTTCTCCCGCAGCCTCAGGCTGGGCCCAAAGGAGAAAAGCTGTGGCCAGCTGGGGAAGGGGGTGCAGGTCACCCCAACATGGCCACTGAGGGACCTGGCACCTTGGCCTCACCCCCACCTGCCAGAGGGGCGCCTCTCCCTGAACACTAAAAGTTCTCCCCAAAGCCAGGCACTGGTGGCTCACACCTATAATCCTAGCTACTCAGGAGGCTGAGATCTGAGGATCGCGGTTCAAAGCCAGCCCGAGCAGGAAAGTCCATGAGACTCTTATCTCACTAGAAAACCAGAAGTGGCGCCGTGGCTCCAGCGGCAGAGCGCTAGCCTTGAGCTGAAGAGCGCAGGGACAGCGCCCAGGCCCAGAGTTCAGGCCCAGGACTGGCCAAAACACAAAAAGTCTCCTGGACTTTCCTGTCCAGGCTGGCCTCGAACACGGCCCCCTCCTGTCCGCCTCCCGGGCAGTAGGGCTGTGACCTCTCACCTTTCAGCTTCTCCCCAAACATGGTGAGGAACACGGTGAAGTTGATGGGCCCGGGCGCCTCCTTCACCATCACCTCCAGCTCCTCGTTCTTCACGTTGATGCGGCCTGTGGGGAGTCAGGGTCTGAAGGAAGGGGGGGACCCGGGGAGCTGGCAGCCACCCCTGGGGCTCCTTACAGCCCCCCAGACTCCCTCTGGGGCTATAAGTACACCTTTGCACCCCTGGCCCTTTGCACAAGCTTGCCGCCGCCCCTGACATCGCCTGGCAGGCCCAGGAACCCGGGACATGGGGTGGTGCCCCTCCTTGCCCACCCCCTCTCCCAGGGCAGCCTCAGCCCAGCTCTAGGCCCCCCCGTGCACCCCAAGTCCCCACTGTCACCCACCCAGGGCGGCAAAGGTGTCGCGCAGGTCTTCCTTATCGATGAAGCCGTCCCGGTTCTGGTCCATGATGGTGAAGGCCTGGTGGGACAGTGGCGGGGTGACCCCGGCCCGGGGACCCCTGACTCCCACTGCCCAGCCCAGTGGGCTCTCACTGCACAGGTGCACAGCCAGATCCATCCCCTCCTACTGGTCCCCAGCACCCCATTTACACACGGGGAAACTGAGGCCCTGAGAGAGAAGGGGCTTGCCAGAGGCCACACAGTGAGTGTGGCCTCAGAGACGATGGGGAAGGGACTGCCCAGGGCCCCCAACTTCCCTGGCACATGGGGTGTGAGCCCCCTCCCCGAACTCCCCGAGTGGCCATGCAGGAGCGGGGCGGACCCCACCTCCTTGAACTCCTGGATCTGGGACTGGTCAAACATGGAGAAGACGTTGGAGCCGGCAGCTCCGTCCACCCTTTTCCGGGCTCTCCTGGGTGCCTGTGGACATGGGAGAGGCCGTGGAACCCCTGCTCCCCGGGGGGACCCCCCTCAGTCAGGCCCTCCTGGAGCCTCACGGCCTTCTCCAGCCACAGCTGGAAACTGGGCATTGCCCGGGACTCCCGCACAGGGCTCCTCCAGCCCGCAAGCCAGGCCCCGAGGCTCAGCCCGCCTCGTGTGCCTGGAGCTGCATCAGGAACAGCGGATCCAGCCCATGGCTCACCCGCTTTCCTGGCTTCTTCTAAAGGGGCCTGGCCAGTAGGCCGTGAAGCCGCTGACGGTGACAAGTGGTCCCCTTAGACATCATAAAGATGTCCCCTACACAGCTCGCCTAGATACGTATACAGACAGTTCCTCCTGGTTAACGAATCATGATCGCCAGCTGCGGCAGCTCACGACTGTAATCCTAGCTACTCAGGAGGCTGAGATCTGGAGGACTGTAGTCTACAGGCAGCCCAGGCCGAAAAGTATGGGCCTTTAAAAAAAAAAAATCTGCAATGAAGGGGCTGGGAAGGTGGCTCAGTGGTAGAGCGCTTGCCTTGCATGCCTGAGGCCCTGGGTTCTGTTCCTCAGCACCACATAAGCAAAAAGAAAAAAGCCGGAAGTGGTGCTGTGGCTCAAGTGGTAGAGTGCTAGCCTTGAGCTAAAGAGCTGAGGGACAGTGCCCAGGCCCAGAGTTCAGGCCCCACGACCAGACCCCCCCCAAAAAAAATCTCCAATGAACTAGCAAAAAAAACATACTGGAGGTGAGGTTCAAGTGGAAGAGCACCAGGCTTGAGAAAGCCTGAGGCCTTGAGTTCAAACACTGGTGAGGTCAAAAGGAAAAGTGCTTCTGTCTGGGAGACATTTTGCCACTCCAGACAGGCCCTCTGCTAGGACCCCATCCTCCTGCTCCCCAGGGTCCCCCTGTTCCCCACCCCAGCTTTGCCCATCGCAGGTCACCCCACTGTGAGATGTGCAGGGCTGGCCAGGGCCGGCCCAGACCGGGCACTGAGGCCCGGGGCGCAGCCGTGCCACTTGGGTCCGACCAGCCCTTGCTGCCATCCGCGTCATGAGGAATAGAGATCCTCCCTTCAAAGACACAAGCCAGGGAGTGGGAAGCACCAAGCCTGGCTCTCACCCCAGCCTTGCTGCTTGCTGTCTACCTCCATGGGGGTCTCAGTTTCCCCATTTGTAAAGCCAAGAGAACGCCCGCCTCAGCCAAAAGACATGGCTTCCCGGCGCTGCCCCCCAGCAGCCTACCATGCTCTGATCGTCGTGCTGTGTCTCAGCAGGGCTGGAGGGGGCCGGAGGGGGCTCCTTAAATAGTGCTCCTAGGATGTCTCTGGCACAGGCATGGAGGGGTAGGGTGTGGGGGCTCTGTGATCCTTGGCCAAAGCCCACGGGTGGATCCGGCCATCACCTAAGCCGGGAGATCTCCGGGAGCTCAGGGCCTGGCTCAGCAGGGGCTGGAGGACAGTCAAGGTCAGAGGTCCCGGTGCCAGCTGGGAGCCATGGGGAGCCTGGCGCAATTAGCATGGGATTTGCATATATTTTGCATGTACCCTCCCACCGCTTCCCATGATCTCCTAGATGGCCCTGTGTGTGTGTGTGTGTGAATGTGTGTCCCAGGGCTCAAACTCAGGACACTTGCACCCTTCCATAGCACCACTTCAGGTTTTCTGGAGTCTCGTGGACTTTCTTGCCCTGGCTGACTTTGAACTGTGACCCTCAGATCTCAGCCTCCAGAGTGGCTGGGATTACAGGCGTGGGAATCTGCACTTGGCTAGAGGTGATGACACATGGCAGCAGGTAGCTGGTATGGTTTGTGAATATCAGTGTGACTTTCTATATTTCCTGGAGTTTTGCCCTCTGCTGCCAGCCCATCCCAGATAGGAAGACGTGAGGACGGATCACATGCATTGCCCAGAATTTCAGAATGCTATCATTATTGTTGCCAACCTGGGTCCCCTGTCCCCCCCCCACAATGTTACCAGGTAAGGCCAGGCACGGTGAGGCGTGCCTGTAACCCCAGCCCTCAGGAGGCTGAGGTAGGAGAAATGCCACCCCAAGCCCATCCAGAGCTATGCACTGAAACCAGGGCTAGGAATGCGGCTTAGTGGTAGGGTGCTAGCCTTGAGCAAAGAAGCTCTGGGACAGCGCCCAGGCCGTGAGTTCAAGCCCCAGGACTAGCAACAAACAAACAAGCCAACAAACCAGCAAATGAAGAGGGGTGAGCATGAACAGAGAACTTCAGATGCTGTGGCGGGGGAGGGTGGAAGGCGCGGCCTCCGCCCTCGGGCTGCAGCCAGGGATCTCCGGCCGCTGGCGCACCCACCGAGCTGCACCTGCCCTGGGCACCGCCCGTGTGCCATGTGCCCCGTGCTGCCCGGCCCGGCTGCAAAGGTGGCCCTGGGCCACCCGGCCGTGCTGGCAGGCGCTGCTGGCCCCCGTACTGACTGGCTGCCAGGCTGGAGGCCGGGGCCTGGGCCGCCAGGGCTTAGCTGTCCCCAGCGCGGCCTCCAGCCCAAGCCCGGAACAAGAGCAGTCACACCAAAGTCACTCCATTGGCACCCCGTGTCCAGGAGGGGAAACTGAGGCACAGGGTGGTCCTCCCTCCCCCACTGCTCCCAGGGGGCTCTTTTTAGTGGTTCCAGAGGAGGCTTCTGGAAAGTTCCATCCACACAAACACTCAGGGTCCCTGTACCCTGCCCCATGCCATCTCTAGCTACAAATCGCCCCGTCCAGCTCCTGTGGCCGCCCTGAGCAACCAGGGAGCGGGGCTGGGCCTGCCACGCTGCCCGAGGGGGGCCCACGTGGGGGTGACCTGAGGCTCCGCTGAGGGACACCCCTCCTCCCCCCTGCCTTCCGGCTGGCCCTGGGCTGCAGGGATTACAGGAGGCACCGCCGAGTTGGACGGAGCCCGAGGGACACGGAGGCTCTGGATGGAGTGCCAGGACGGCGGGCTTACGTGTCCTGAACCCCAACAACACAGGAGGACGGAGCGGGCACCCTGCCAGCCATGGCCAAAGACAGCGTCCCCCCTCCCCCCGTTCTGTCTAGAAGACACTCAGCCCCAGAAGATGGCTGCTGTGTCTTCACCGCCATCTTCCTGTGGCTACCATGTAATAATTCTCTTGTCATTGTGTGTGTGTGTGTGTGTGTGTGCGTGTGTGTGCGCGCGTGCGCGCGTGTGTATCATTACTGGGGCTTGAACTCTGGGCTTGGGCGCTGTCCCTCAGCTCTTCAGCTCAAGGCAAGTGCTCTACCACTTGAGCCACAGCACCACTTCCGGTTTTCTATTGGTTTCTTGGAGGTAAGAGTCTCAAGGAGTTTCCTTGGCTGGCTTTGAACTGTGATCCTCAGATCTCAGCCTCCTGAGTAGCTAGGATTACAGGCTTGAGCACCAATGTCCAGCTGGTTCACATATCTTTGGTAGTAGAATGAGCAGCCAGACCTGACTCGGGAACTCGGGTTCCCAGGCTCTACTTTCACGGGGGGGGGGGGGGCTGAGAGAAAGTTCCATGGCCCAGAGGGGACAGCGGGGTGCCACCCCCTGGGCCTTGGGTATGAGAGGCTGAGCGCTGGGGATGGATGGGGCAGGTTTGTGGCATGACCCTGCTCATGTGAAATCCCAGGGCCCAGCTGGACCATCAAGGCACGACCTGAAATCTGTCCCAGGATCCTTGGAGGAGCTGCAGGCCTAGGGTGGGCAGCTGGCTCCCCTCTGCCAGGAAATCCACAGCCATCCTCTGTGGCCCCAGGCCCTTTGAACATCCTGCTGCCTCCTAAGCGAGCTAGCAAGCAATGCAATCGGCGCCTGGGGCAGCCTCAGCTATAAAACAGGCAGCAGGCAGCCGGATGCATTCTTTCTGGTTTTAAAAGTTTGCTTGTCTTTTCTAAGTGGCTCCAAATTGGGGGAAGGCTCCAGACGGGGCGGGGGGGGGGGCGACAGCAGGAGCTTCAGGAACAGACAGAGGACTTCCTAATTGCCCGCAAAAATCTCCATCCTCATGGCGGCTGGTAATTAGAGAGGCGAGGGAATGGAAAGGGAATTTCTTCAGGGTGGGAGGAGGGACGATGGGCTCTAAGTCGGGGTTCTGCTGGTTTGGGGGGGGCTCTGCCGGCTGCAGCCTGGGGTCCCCGCTCACCCCTCATTCTGTGTGGCTGGCTCCCAGGCTGTGACACTGCTGCGACCCTGTCCCACGAGACCTCAGACAGCACCCACAGCACGCGCGTGCGTGTGCACACACACACACACACACACACACACACACACACACACACGACCGCCCTCACCCCACCCTGGCTCTGTTCAGAAAACAAAAAACCCATGTAGCCAACTAGACGCTGTGATTTCTGGGTCTCTCAGCGGTGTTGAGGTCACGAGACTCTGAAGACGGAAGCCAAGCAGAATGACAGCGAAGAGGAAGGGGGTGGACCTCCAGCCTCAGAGCCGCTGGCTGGGGGCAAAGCTTCCATCTTGTTGACATGATTTGGGGCCTCTGTGACTTACAAATGGAGCGTGGGCTGGGGGGGCTGGGGTTTGAACTTGGGGTCCAGGCTCCACCCCTGAGTCTTCATGTTCAAGGTTGGTGCGCTATCACTTGAACCAGGTTGGCTTTGAACCACAACCCTCAGATCTCAGCGTCCTGAGTAGCGAGGTGTGTGGACACTGCGTCTGGCTGGACATTGTCTTGATGAGCACCATCAAGGAGGAGGGATGGGGTGTGTGGAGGCTTCTGGAGTCCAGAAGGTTCCAGGCCCTTCCTCCTGAGGAAGTTACCCTGCCCTGGACCCTGCCCGGGCCTCAGCCTCCAGACCAGGCCTCAGCCTCCAGACCGGGTCTCCACCTCAGGCCTCTTCCTTAGTCTCCGGCCCAGTCCTTGTGCCCAGCCTCGCAGGCAGAGCCCGGCCACCGCTCTGTGTCCACAGGGTCAACTCAGCTGGCCGCCGGCCTCTCGCCACCCCTTCTGGGGGGTCGCACATGCACAAGCGCCCCGT